TGGGGGGCAGGGGGGACAGCAACTGGGTTTGGAAGGACAGGCTCAGTACCAGCTGGAAGAGTAGGGCCAGGCCTGAGGCAGACAAGGGTGGGATGGGGGATCCCTGGTGGGGAGACATCAGGCACAAAAGGCTTCATTGTGATAGTGGCGCCAGCTTTATTAATCTGGGTGGGGAAGGGGGGGTGGTGCCAGCAGACTTTGCAGCCTCAGGGGGTGGCCTCGGCCTGCAGATGGCCATTGGCATCGCCAGTGCAGCCGTTGGTGGCGGCCGGTACTGGCCCTTTACTGTACAGCACAGGATGGTGGGTCACGGGCCCAGTCGGCTTGAGTACAGGGTCTGGGCGCTCCATCTTGTGCTCCAGCAGCATGTGGTTCTGTGGTGGAAGTCCCAGACAGGCCCTGGAGGGCCACAGGGGGACTCAGGGGACCAGGAATGGCTGGGAAGGCCACCGGGGTCCCCCACTCCAGCCCCACCCCAACCAGCACACCGCGAGCCCCTCAGGCGCACCCCACTCACTTGAGAATATTCTCAATGCAGCTGCGTTGGCGGAAGAGGGCGTTGACCACAGGGCTGCCGGGGGGCACTAACGGTGCCTTAAAAAGGAAGCCAAGTAGGGCCAGCACCGAGTGGAAGCCCTGTGGCTCCGGGTCCCTGTCCGTGCAGAAGCTCACTCGCTGGCACAGCTCCGTCAGCAGCACCAGGTCCAGCATGATGGGCGTGGCCAGCAGCGAATCCTGGGAAGGTGGGGGTGTGAGTGGATGGTACCCTGGGTGGGTCACCAACCATCCGCCCTCACCCTCACCCCTGCACCTCGCAGGTGTTGTGCAACACCAGGGTGTTGGTGCCGCCCAGCATCAGCTCTGAGGTGTACTCGTCCAGGGCCCGCTTGCTGTCGCCCACGTAAGGCACGTACTTGATTACCACCTGGGGGGCAGGGGACCACAAGAAGTCTGGCACCAGCTGCTGGGTACCCCCCTCCCTGCCTGCCTCGGGGGGGCCCCCAGGTCCTCACGCACACAGTGGTCAGGCCCCTCGCCAGGCGTGTAGAGCACTGGGTTACTGAGCACCATGTCGTCCACCACATTGCTCTTGGACACCTCCTTGGAGCGGAACTGCGATGGAGCAGACAGGTTCTGCCCGTCGTTGTTGCCCAGGTGGTTGTAGCTCACGATGGACATGGTCTGCCGGCGACAACAGTCCTGTGGTACTCCACGGGGTCCTTTCTCCCAGCCCTGCGCTCTTGACCCCCCACCCCAATCACCCCTGGTCTCTCACCTTGAGCCCAGAGCTGATGAGAAAGTCCACCAGCACAGACTTGACCTTGGTCTGGCCAGTCTTGAAGTCATCCCCGCCCACGAAAACACGGTGCTGCCGAGCTAGCTCCAGTGCCCCCGGCACCAGTGTGTTCTGGGGGGACCCGTTGAGGAAGGCACAGCCCTCCAGGATGCTGGCCACAGCAAAGAGCGTGGATGGGGACACCTCCCCACCGGCCTGTGGATATGGGGCAGGAGGAAGTCAGCCAAGGAGCTGGGCCCCGATCCCGGCCCGGCCAGCCTCAGCATACTCCCACCTCAATGGTTCGAAGCAGGTTCTCAGCGGTGTCATTGCAGCCTGGGACCACGTCGCAAAAGCGCTCAGTGTTGGCTGTCCACAGCACGATGACCTTGTCCAGTCCCTTGCTGGTCCAGAAGTCTCGGATGTCCTTGCGGATCTGTTCCAGCTGGGGGAAGGTGGGAGGAGGGAGACAAAGCGCCCAGGCCTTCAGTTCCCCAAGCTTGAAGTGGGGCCTGAACTGTGGGGGGGGGGGCATACGAAAGGGGGGAGCCCATGGGGAGGAGGCAATAGGTGGAGGTGGCGGAACAATAATCGGCAAAGGCCAGGTTTGTTTTCTTAAAGGGGTAAAGACGTGGCAGGGACCAAAGTGGCACCTGCTGCGCACGTGTGCCCGGGATGAGGTTGTCTGCACGGGTGCCCTGGTTGGCCGCGATGAACTCCGGAATGTAGACAGAAGGGCGAGGGCGCAGGCTCTCCATGTGGGACCACAGCTGCTCCTGCAACCCCCAATCCAGCACCTGCGCACGCCGCATAGCCTGGGCCAGGTTCAGTGATGAGATGTCCCAGCCTGGGGGCGACCCTCAGGCTGGTCAGGCTCACGGCTCTCCAGGACACTGCCCGCTGTGCGGCCCTCCCCCCACCCCCGCCAGGGCCCCACGCACCGTCAAACTCCAGGTCATCAGGAGTCACCATAGGTAGCAGAGCGCGGAAGGGCACGTGCACCTCGCGGCCCTCAGCATCCAGGCCCAGGCTCACGGTGCCGGCCTGCGTCAGCGAGCCATAGTAATTGGCTTCCTGGGGATAACAGGCCGGGTGAGGGGCGGAGCCGAGCCGAGGAGACCTGGCCCCCGCCCTGGCCCCGCCTCGGTGGCTCGGTCATTCCGCCGGAGGCCCCGCCCCACAGAGACCACGCCCTTCGCGGACGCCCCCTCCCCCTCGGTGGACTCTTCTCCCCCGCCCCCGGAAGCAATACCACCGGACGGACCCCCATGGAGTCCCCTCCCTCTGTGGAATCTTCAATGGCGCTCCTTTCCCTGCGGAGACACTCCTGTCCCCTCCACCTCGGTAAAGCCCCTGTCCCTTGCGGAGCGGCCACCCGTCTCTAGTAGAATCTGCTCCCCACGGGAGACCTCCCAACTGCCTTCCCTCCCAGTGGACCCTCCTAGCCCCCACGGGGCGCCCTCCCCCGTGGGATCCCCTGGTGGAATCCTCTTCCCACGCGCCCCCACCTTGCGTCCCGTACGCGTGGGCCAGGACAAGCGCAGCCGGTTGGCCAGCACGGCGGCGGTCAGCGTGGAGCCGTTGTTGCCGCCCCAGCCGACGAGCATGACCCCGAGGCGGGGTACCTGCCGGCTCGTCCGGAAGGTGAAGCGCGTGGACGTGGGGTGCACCTGGGAGGGAGGCGGCGGCGCTGAGTCTGGGGTGCCCCCGGCCCGCCCTGCCCCCTCTGCTCGGCGGTGGGACCGTTGGGCGGGCTGCCCACCTTGAGGACAGCGCCCTCACGGATGACGCGAGTCGTCCGGTACTCGTACTGCGCCTCGATGGCCTCGGGGCCGTAGACCACGTCGGGGCTCTCAACCACAAACTCGGCGGCGGCCTCCATCGCGGCGGGCTGGGGATGGTGGACAGGCAGTCAGCCGGGGACGCGAGCCAGTGGCCCCGGTTCTAGGACGAGCGGGGTGGCGGGACCCGCGGGACACACTCACCAGTCCAGAGCGGGCGCGGAGCAGGCAGCGCGAGCCTGCGGGACGCTCAGGCTCCTGGGGAAAAGAGCCGCGGCCCCGCCCCCGGCCCCGCCCCCGGCCCCGCCCCCGAGGGAGGGGCTCCAGGAGGGAGCGCGGCCTCCGGGGGGCGGGGGGGCGATGCCTGCAGCCCCTTCTCTACTGAGTACAAGGCCAAGTGCTGTCGGGTGGTCGCCGGCGGTGGGGGCACGGCCAGGGCAGTCAGGCTTCTAGACACCGAGATTTGAGTCCTATTGCCCGCAGAGGAAACTGAGGCAGCAGCGGGGGGTGTGTGGACCAGCAGAAAGCCAAATCAGGACTGAGACCCCAGTATCAGACGCGTTCCTGGGTCAGGGCGCCCCCCAAAGCTCGAAACCACGCTCAGTAGAGCCCACAGCATGCTCACTCTCTGTACCCTGCAAGGCTCCCCGAGCCTCACCCAATGAAAACACTTGTGGAGAGGCAATAACAGTGCGGGGGTGGGGTGGGCTCCACTGAGAAGGCACAGGCCCAACCTCTGCAAGGGCCCCGGGGTACTGGGAGGTGTTTCTCTCCTATGGACATTGAGACACAATTACAGGGCAGAGCTGTTCGTGCAGCGCAGGCTTGTGGGGGTGGGCTGGCAGGGGGATTGCTTTTTGCTGAGGTCAGCAGCTCCTCCTCAGAGGGGCCCTGCAGGAGGGGGACAGCCTGCCGCCTCTGGGGAGGGTAGACAAAGTTCAGGGGCTGCCTGGGAAAGGAGGACACTTTGTTTCTGCCAGATCCCCAGGGCCAACCCTGGGTTACTCCTGACTGGCACAAGCAGAATGGGGATTTAAGAGGGCCTGGGTCTGGTCAACAGGGGGGCATCTGGGAGGTTTATCTCAGTCACGTGGGGCGTCTGGTTCTCCGCAGTAAGCCAGTTTCCAGGACAGAGAGCATGGAGGATTTCTCAGGGACCAGGTAAAATTCAACTGTCAGCCTGGGACCCCCCTTCTCCCTGCCCCACCCCTACGCCCATCACCTGCCATGACAGGGTAGACTGGGGGTGGCTGCTGAGATGTTTCCCCAGTGGCCTTGGTTCCCCCACCTGCAGCAGGATTGGCTGAGGGCAGGCAGGCCATGAGGAGGAAGGCGGCTGGCCCATCAGCAGTGGCGGGGGCCCCCTCTAGCTAGCCAGGCGATAAGGGAGCGTGGGAAACCAGTGGGGCAGGCGGCTCCCCCAGGAACTTTCCAAAACAAGTGGCCTTCTCCAGCCGGAAAATTTCCATGGCTGGAGCTGACCCAAAAGGTGGATAGATGGGATGTTTGGTTGGGGCCTGGCCTTAGAGTGGGAGCTCCAGGGGCCTGGGCCAGGCCTAGCCCTGGAGACTCTTGTCTGTTACACGGGGAAGCAAGACTTGGCCACCCAGCCAGTGGGGACCAGGGGTAGGGGCACGCCAAAGAGGGCTGGAAAGGCTTCCTAATGAAGGTGGCCACTAGGAAGGGTTTTGAGGTATGAAGAGGAGTTTGCTGGCAACTAGGGAAGTAAAAAAGTGGGGGTATCAGGCCCAGGAATGGGGTGAGGGAATCTTATGGCCACATGTGAGGAACATACAAAGGATACAACAGCTCAGGACCCGACAGGCACCCCAACATTCATAGGTGGGGGACACAGGCCCAGGCACCCCTCTTGGAGAAGTTGGGTGGGGATGGCAGGGACAGAGCAAATCATGTAGCACAGTAAGGAGACGGAAGCGCCAGCCATAGCCTGGAGGGGCGGGGGCTTGGCTGCTACAAGAGCCAGGGTGCAAGGAGGGCCACAGGGTGCACATGATTCAGGTCAGGGAGTAGGCAGCAGATGGTTGGGCCCTATAATCCCAGGCCATTTAGAGGTCATCTCCCTGCTATGGTACAAGGGACAGGCCCAAGAACACTGGGGCCCAAGGGTGTGGGATTCTCAAGCCAAAAGTGAACAAACAGGCAGTTGCAGGAGTGGCAGGTGGGGGTGCAGCTGGCTGCTGGGCAGTGGTGGGTCAGAGGAGGTGCCAGGCAGGGGCGGTGATGCCCGGAGGATGAAGACAAAGAAGATGTTATCTGTGTGACTTGTACACACTGCCCCTTGGCTGCTGGCAGCTACTCCCGTGTCTCTCAGAACCTGAGCCAAGGCCACAGCCAGCCGACTGCCCACTGCCCCCCAGTCTGCAGTGACCGTGGGAGTGAGTGTGCAGGCCTCACTGCCTTGTCTCCCTTGGTTTTCCTTCCTCACGCAAGCTGTCCCCGCCCCTGCTGCTGCACAGAGCAACTGGCCTCCAGGCTCAGGGTTCCCTTAAACCAGGGGACACAGATGGCCATCCCTACCGGCACCCTCTGGGACTCAGTGTCCCAGCGGAGGTCCCCCACCAGACACACACACACACACACACATCCCTTTCCGTCAGAGAATGTGGTCTTTCCCTGGTCACACACCTGCCCTTGCTCCTCTAGCCCGCTGGCCCCGGCCCCGTCCTTCATTCTGACTGGCCCCAGAGCCACCTCCCCTACCAGAGCCACCCACTGGCTGCCCTCAGGCAGCGATGTAGGAGCGGGTCTAGGGACAGACATGAGCACAGGAGGGCCACCAGAGCCCCGATTTGGTTCAGTGAAATTTATTGTAGGTTGAAAAACTTCAGCATTCACCTGCTTAGTGTACAAAAAGAACACTAGCTCTTTTAATAAAACACGAGGAAACTGAAGCCACGGTGCCCCTCGACTGTAACATTTTGGCAAAAGTGAGAAGTCCTTGTAAACACCAACTCCGTGGCTCAGAGTGGCCTTGCTCCACAGCACGGGGCGGGACAGAGCAGGATCAGTCTGTCAGACTTGTCCTCTACCAGCCCCCAGAGCACAAGCCACCTCTGAGCGTCACCAGTCCTTAAAAGGGGAACAGCAAACACTAAGGAAGGGTATAGCTGGCGGGGGCGGGGCCTCCTGGGGACGTGTGCCCAGGAGCGGGTGGTGACTGCGTCCCTGCGACCACTGAGGAGGGTCCACGTTTCTGCAGGTCCACCTCGTTGAGGGCCCATTCCAGACAGCACAGCTTGGTGGGATTCCTGGCCCCGCGGGGATTGGGGGCGCACTAGGCACAGCAACAAAGCAGCAATTGGGGGCCCACGAAGCCGCGCCCCCAGCCCCTCCTTCCCTGAGTGCGACCCTGGGGCCTCAGAGGAGGGGGTCTTGGCCCCCGAGGGCGGACAGACAAACAGCAATAGCAGCAGCAGCAAAGGGGGCGCTGAGGACTCATCGGCCACCTGGGGGAGCACCCGGGCCTTCCGGTGGGCAGCTGAGCACAGGGAATAGCAGGCTAGTTGGGGCCACGGGCCTGGCACCTCCCAGGACAACTGGGCCCCGCAAGCCCCTGGCCCACAGCTGCTCTGTGCCAGCTGGGGCTCTTGAAATAGAGCTGCCCACTTGCTCCAAGATCCTGGGGCAGGTGGGGGAAGGCAGGGGTCAGCTGACCAGAGATCACCCCAGCTTACAGGGACCTGATGGATGGCCCTGTATACAATGGCCCTGGGCCAGGCTCCTCAGAAATGGCCCCCAACGGTCACTACCCAGGGTCCTCATTCAGAACAGTACTCGCCCCAGTGGCCGTGATACTGCACAGAGGAGCTGGGCACAGGGCCACAGGCAGCAGGAGGCACAGGTATAAAAAGGGCTTTTTCTCTTCGTACAAAAATAGACGAGTCTCCTCGCAGTAGCTAAAAGTGGCTATTCGTATAAAACTAGAAAAGACGCCCAGCCCATCTTGAGCCACGGCTGGGAGGGTGGCGCAGCCTGAGGCCCCGCCGCCAGGACCCTGGTGTCCACCAGTGGCTTCAGAGAAGCGAGTGTCCTTCCATTTATTACTTAAATAAATGCTCTTTCCCACCGTTTGTCCCCCAGACCCTATCATCCACAAGGGTCCACGTGGCGGGGGCAGGCCACAAGGCCACTGGTCCCTGGGCGGCGCCTGTCGCCCAGCGCCTCCAGCTAGTGCCAGGAGGGCGCCTGCCGCTGGTCGTACTCGGCGATGAGCCTCTTGATGTGGGCCAGCTTGCTGTGCAGGTACTCGCACCGCTGCTTTTCCTGGCTGTAGTGGGTGTTTGTCTGCGGGGGGGGGGGGGAGAGGCAGGGACACTTGGTGACCTCGGGGACCAGTGCCAACTCTGCTGATGGGGTGGCCAGAGGCCTCTCTGGGGGTGGGGGTAGGGGGGCAAGCCGGGAGGCTTTGAAGACACAGACAGAGCCAGTCACCAAAGTGCAGCCCAGAGATTCCCTTCCACCCTGGGGAGCGGTGGGGGACAATGGGGGTACCTGGGGACCCACCCAGCTCTCTCCCCAAACAGACCCACCTTTTTTATTTTCCGGTACTCCTGTAAGATCTGCCCTCGAGTGGTCTGGGGGGAGGGAGGAGAGAGGGCATCACCCGCCTGCGGGACTCTGCCAACCCCAGCCCCCTGGTGTCCAGAGAGGGTGAGGGGGCCCCACCTCATACTCCGGGGAGCCCTGGGAGAGCTGCCGGAGCTGGGCGTCGAGTTGTGTGAAGCGTCGCGTGATGCGCTCGATGCGGGCGTGCAGGTCGCGGTACTCGCTGTACTCTGAGTTGAAGTCATTCTTGTAGCTCTGCCGCTGCTCCGAGGACGAGATGGCTGAGTACTTCCTGGCAGGGGGAGAGAGCCAGGTCCAGGGCCAGGCCTCCCCCCGGGGTACCCCACCCAGGGGAGCTTGGGTGGCTCAGAGGCCTGGCCGAGAGCACATCAACACGCTCTTCCTGGCCGCCAGTCTCTGCCACCAGCGGGTCACAGGACAGGCTGGCTGCTGAGCACAGTGGCGTGGGATGGGGGACAGCCTGGTACTCACAGTAAGTAATCAGGTGTGTCTGAGGTGGAGGTGGGGATGCTGGCACTATGGCAGGCACCATTCAACCCTGTAGAGAACAGATGTGCTGTCACAAGGCCCATAATGCCCAGACCCCACCCACCCACCCATGGCAAGCAGGTACTTGCACGCGGCAGGGTGGTGGGCCCAGAGGCAAAGCAGACCAGAGCCAGACTTGAAGAGGCATCCAAGTAGACACTGGCCAGCAGCATCACCACTGCCGGGACATGTAGTCTTGCCCACGGCGGGGGTCTAGGCTGCCACCACACCCTGAGTTGTTTCTAACTCGCGCTCCTGCGGCCCTGCAGTTTCCCAATGCCTCCTCTGGCCACGCTTCCCAAGCCCTCTCTGCCCAGGTGGTGTGGTCACTGCTCAACAGCTCAGAGGCCAGGCCCAGCCTCCTCCTCAAGCTCTAGGACTCTAGTGACCACCCAGGATGGGGCCTGCCCACCAGGGCCACTGGCAGCCTCCAGGCCCCACAGCCATTTCCCTGGAGGCAACTTCCCACCTTCACCAGGGTGGGAGCCTGAAGCTCTCCTCCCCTAATATTTGTCCTCTTCTCGTGAACACCCCTGCAGACCTGAGTGCCCCAGCAGGACAGGAGGCACCCATGGCTGACCCCAGGCTCAGTGTAAGGCCCAAGGGATTGTGGAGCTCGCTCATGGGGTACAGAATGTGGCGAGCTCCCTGTGGCAGCCCCCCACCCCCAACCTACCTGGGGCGTCTGGCGGGGTTCCGACGGTGCTGCCCGAGCTCTCCACGGGCTCTAGGTTGGGTTTCGAGCCCCGGGGCCGGTCCCTGGGTAACCGTTCCTTGTCCCGGTGCTTCTTGGACTTCTTCTTGGCCTTGCCATGGGGCCGGCTGGGCTGGGTGCAATCTGGGGATGGGGGTGGGTGCAGGCGCTCAGCAGGGCCTGGGCCTCCTGCCTCAGGAGGTTCTGTGTGGCTCAGGTCATTGCTAACATCAGCCAGGGGGTCGTGGGGCCTCAGGGGCTCAGGCATTGGGGGGTTGGGAGCAGCACGGTTAAGGGGTGGATTCAGTTTCCCGTTGATGGCAGGCTGGGTACGCTGGGCAAAGTGTGATATCCGAGGCTTCTTGCTGGCGAGGGGATCGATGAAGTCAGGAGGCTGTGGCCGCTTCTGTGGAGGAAAGCGGTGACTGGATTACGGGGGCGGTCCGTGTGGGAGCAAGCTCAGCTGCCGGGGCCAGTGGAAGCCAGCACAGGCTGCAGGGCTCACTCTGGCCACACGGTGGCACCCACACACTTGTAGTCTGACACCTTTGCCCAGCTCCAGCCTACTTGCGCCCCCTGGGGGCCTGAATTGCCGGCTTAGCGCCTGTCCTAGTGGCATAGGGAACCAGTGATTATTGTCCCAGCCCAGTCCAGGACCCCAGGCCACCTTGGGCAAACTGTAACTGATCGTGTGGGCGGTGCCAAAGTAGGCCCCTGAGCCTATGGGGCTGGGCTGACACCCTTCCCTGGTCTCCTGTTCTGCTGCGCTGGGAGGTGAGTCCTCATGGAGGGACATAGAAATAGGGGACTGAAGTCAGGGCAGCTCTCAGCCAGCCCTTTCCTGCCTCCCCTACCCCCACCCCCACGCATGGGAAACCCCGAGGAGGAGCCACAAGCCCCACTCCATGATGCCCCCGGCTCGGCCCTACCTGTGGCAGGGAGGAGGCATTCCCATGCTCCCTTGGAGGGCTGGCAGCAGGGTCCCCAGGGACGGGCCCGGCACCCTGTGGCTGGCACAGCTTCCTGAGGGGGAAGGAGACGGTTGGAGGGTGAGCAGCAGTGCAGGGTATGTCTTCCAGTGTTCCAGAGCCAGAAGAAGAATGAAGGGGGAGGGATTTCGTCCTGGCTGGCTGGAGTGAGGGGGCTAGATGGGCCCCCGTGGTGCTGGCCTAGAGCCCCACAGGAGTCCCCTGTGTGAACATGAACGCTTGTGGAAGCCGCTCCAGGAAACATTGCTGGGAGGCCCGGCCCCACTGCCTGCTGGAGCGCTGAGGCCAACACCTCTACTCTGGATGGGGAAGAGGGCCCTGCCTAGGGCAGCGGTGCCCTTAGAGAGCCAGAGCACAGACATCTGCCACAGAAGATCCAAGGAGACACTGGGGCAGCATGGATGGGTGCAGGAGCTCAGCGGGGGCTGGGCCTGGCCATGGGGTATCAGGGCCCCTCAACGGCCCCGAAGAGGCTGTACCAGTGTGTCCAGGTCGCCACCGTCCCATGTCAGAAACCCTGAAGATGGGCAGACAAGCAAAACACCACCTTTTAAAGGAGGGACTACAGACGGGGAAGAGACATCTACATACAGAGAAACAATCTACATACTTAGAAAGGCAAAGGACTTGAAGAGACATGTATGGAGACTAAAAATGCACACGGAAGATGCTCAATGCCATCAATCATTAAAGCCAGAAAAGTAGATCAGAAAAGCCAGGTGCCCACTACCACTACCGACCTTTCCGATCAGAAGCAAAACAGATCCTGACCACGCAGGAGGGAAACATGGCACAGACTTCCAGGGCCCACAGAATCTGAAGGAGTCGCCCAGACCACAGCCCCAATAGGCTCTACAAACCCTGAATGGAAACTATCCCCGGAGGTCCCCTCTGAGAATCCGTTTTGCCCCAAAGTAAAGAGGGTCACTCTGAAGGAGGGCAAGGCTCCTAAAGCAGAAGCAGTCGCATTCCTGGGAGCCCGCCCTGCTTTACAGCTGAGGGGTCGGCTGGAGAGCTGGGCGATGGACGAAGCGAAACTACAACGGAGGAACGACACATGGGCATGCAGTGAAAGCTCACCCCCGAAGCTACCATGAGAGCCCGTTCAGTGTGTGCTACTTTCACCCCCAACCCCGAAACCAGCTGCCGTGGAGCAGCCACGCGTCAGTCGACAGCGCCTTTGGAGGAAGGCCATCACCCAGGAGTGGACTTGGACCTCTCGCCTCCCAGTGGGCAGCTGCGTCCACTCACGGACATTGTGTTTGCACGGCGCAGGGACCCTGCGTGCCTCACCAACCATGGCAACACGCCACCTCACTTTGGATGGCAAGTGTCAGAAAAACGGAGACTAACGAGTGTTGACAGGGATGTGGGGTGACTGGGACCCTTGATCATTGCTGGTGGGACTGTCACCTGGCGCAGAAACAGCCTGGCGGCTCCTCACCCCACAGAAACAGTTACCATGTGACCCAACTCGGTCCTTCTGAGGCATTTAGTGTGGGGACAGAAAAACACGTGTCCACCACGGCGCCTGTCCAGGAATGCCACTGCAGCACAGTTCACAGGAGCCAGCAGGTGGACACACGCCAACAAGATGGATAACCCACACGCACCAGGAGGAAGGCACCGACTCCCACTCGGACATGGAGGGGCCGTGAGAGCACCTTGCTAAGCCAAGCAAAGGCAGACACAGAAATGACCCACTGATCGGGAATGTGCAGAACAGCTCAGCCAGAGACGGTGAGCAGTGGATGCCTGGTTGCCAGGAGCTGGAGAGGGGCTGGGAGAGACGGCTAATGGGCACATGAGTCTCCTCTGGGGAGGATGAGAACGTTCTGGAATCAGACAGGCAGTGGCTGCACAACCTTGGGAAGGAAGCCAGCAGTGCTCAAACAGGTGAGCTGCAGGACATGCACATTTCCCAGTGTCCCCAGAAAGAGGCCACGGGATGCGTCTGCTATGAACCCTCAACAACAGAAGGAAGGGCAAGTTAAAAGTGACATCCCTGCACGAGACAAGGCCCTGGCGGCGGAGCTCCTGAGAAGAGACAGCAAAGGAGGTGGGCTGGAAGGAAATCTCAAGCAAGGGGCACAGATGACGACCACTCAGGCGCGTGGTCCCCAGGGGCAGCGGCCCACTTGTGCGCACAGGTCTGCGGGCAGTGTCCAGCCTCAGCTGTACATCAGGGCCTAGAAGCCAAAGCGCCTCCCCACACGGAGAGAGGGTAAGCCCGCTCACATGGACAAATCTAGGTGCCTTAGCACAACGGCCCAGGCTTGTGTGAGTGTGTGTGTGGGGGGTGTCTCTCACTGTGCTCTAGGTGCAGGTTCTGTCAACAGCTGACCTGCAGGGCCTGGAAATAGCTCCCCACCTGCCCGCCCGCCCAAGCAGTCACTTAGTCACTTAAAGCCTAAGGAGCGCATCCACCTGGCGCAGCAGTTCCTCCCTTCCCTCGGCTGGATCAGGAGGAAGTCGCTAATTGCCCGAGCCTACTCCCTCCTTCTCCCCAGAGCCATGGGCACCCCCACCTCAGGTCCCGGAGACCCATGGGACACATTTAATTAGCGAGGTGCAGTCCTCCCCGAGGAGAGTGGTTCGGCCGTGTTCTTTGTGCTCCCCTCACAGGAAGGAGGCTCAGAGCCAGGTTTGGGGGCCAGAGAGGACCAGGGTGGTAGGGATTAGCGTGATGGTGAATAAGTGGGGAGAAAGGCTGAATCCCTAACAGGCCTGTGGAAACCCCCACCTCATGGGGTCTGCTGACATCAGACCCAGCTCCAGGTGGAGATGGGGGAGAGCCCTGTAAGGTCACCCTGAGGTCCTGGAAGAGACCTCCTAGTGCCCCAGCATCAGGGTGTCACCCGGGGTCAACTGTGGGGTGTTCTCAGCTTAGGGGAGGATCCTCAGGGTTGGCAGCAGAGGGGTTCCCAGGACTGGGGTCAGGAGTCCTGGGGGCAGTACCTGACGAGCATGCGCTGGAGCAGTTGCCGGTCACCCTCTGAGTAGCCAGGCCAATCCCGCTGCACGTCCTTGTACATGCTGTCCTTGAGTGTGCACGTGCCGTCCTTGGTGCTCACGTTGGCCACCTGCAGACAGGACGGGATGTCGCCTGCATGACCCATGAGCCCAGGGTCAGCAGCCTCCACAGACACGAAGAGGAGGCACTGATGCACAATTCTCAGCTGGTCCCTGAGTGCGTGTACACCCCCACCCCCACTCCCCACCTCCAACCAGATGCCAGGGGGGGCTGGTGTCTGTCAGAGGCCAGGGGAGTCCACATTGCCACAGTAACAGCCCAGGCACCAGGGCCACATGCTGACGGCTGAGTCGTCCAGAGGGGCCTGTTGGAATCCGAGGCCCCGCACACCCACTGTGCCCCCATAGCAGCCTCTCTCAGATGCTGCCTCTTGAAGGAGTTGCTGCCCTAGCTAGACGCTTGCAAGGCTGGCTGGGTAGCATTCTGGAACGAGACAGGCCTATGTGCTTAGCCACTGTCCTACAGGAGGCACCTGCAGGGTCAGGAAGCAGGGCCAACCTCCCTACACTAAGAAGGTGCTTTGGGCCAGGCAGCGCCCTCCTCTCATGTTCACGCCATGCTCAGCCCAGTGCGCTCAACGAGGGCCTGCACAATGCAAGCTCAGCCACCTGGGCAGTTCACCCATGCTTCCCACCTCACGGGGCAGCTCCCACACCCCACCACTGCCCAGACGGGCAGACAGGCAACAGCACAGCCCCAGCGGTCTTCCCATCCAGCCAGCACCAGTGCCAGCTTCCCAGGGCGTCCAGAAGCTAGTGTACCAGGCTGCCAGGGACACACACCTAGCGTGGTGGGGGAGAGGATGCTGTGGCGGCTGAGGCGTGGCGTGTGTCTGTCTCCTCTGCTTGGGGCACAGATTCAACAGGTGCCTGGAGGCCAGTGGGAGGCCATCGTCCATCGTCAGAAGCTTCAGCCACCAGCCCTACCGTACAAGCCACTCTAGGAGTCCCCAGGGCTCGGGAGGGGGGCACAGCTTGCTAGAAGCTCCCTACACCCTCTGGCAGACCCTGCGAGCTATGGAGCCAGAAGGGCTTCTTGACGTCTCCCACACCCGGCCCTGACGGAGTGGGTGGGTGTCATTCTGAGCCACCTGCCTCCTGGGGACCTGGGCCCATGTCAGGGCGCACATCCACACGAGGGGCTGGCTACCTGCTACAAGGGGTGTCACCTGGGACCTGGCATGAGGGAGGTGGGAAGCAGCAGGGCCCCACTCCAGCCTCTCCCCTAGCCCTGACAACCACCATCATTCTTTGCAGCCACGATGGCAATGCCTGTTCCGTCCAAGGTTGCAGGACACACAGCCCTCTCCTCCGCAGGCCATACAAGGAGCCCTGGGCATGGTGGCCAGCACCCCCATCCTCCTGCTGGGTGGCTGCAGCGGGTACAGCTGGGGTGCAATGGCTTTTGAGAGGCTCCTGTCTTTGGCTCCCCACCCTCCGGTAGTCAGTCTCATAGGAGGTGAGTCCCCATGTCCTCCACCTGCTGCCCCTGTGTGTCCCTGCACCTGCTGGAGGAGGCTGTCTAGTGAGTCCTTGTCTGGCTGCGACAGCCCATCCCTCTGCAGACGCAGCAGCAGCTCAGCCTTTCGGTAGGGCCTCAGCGCCAGGAGATGCAGCACCCGGTCACGAAACGGCCGCTGGGAGACACCCCCACCGCTGCACTTCCTGAGAGTGCTGGCTGGGTTGGCAGGGGTGGCCCGCTTCCGGGAGGGCACGGGGTCAGGCGGCCCTGGGGCTGGCTTCCGGAAATGGACCCTTTTGCCTGAAAGGAAAGGCAGAGCTGGGTCAAGAAAGGGGTGCACGGCAGAACCGAGACCTGGCGCTGGAAGGCCCCCCAGGCTCGTCGCACTGGGAGGCGGGTCTAGTGGGGATGCCAGGGTGAGGAAGAGAATACTTGGCACAAAGCACAACTGCACATGTGACATGAGCTGTATACCTAACATGTGCCATGTGTGTGCTGTGTTCCTGATATATGTATGACATGACTGTGCTTAGGGCCCAGGTGGTAAAGGTGGCCCTGGACCTGCACATGCGGCCGGAGGTCCCTGACCCTGCCTGCAGGCCCAGCACACACACAGGCCCACTGCACCCGAGAGCACAGTGTCTGTTTCTCAGTTCACAGAAACCACTTCCCACAGCGGAGCCCCAGAGTGCCACAAGGGTCAGACGACGGCTGTGCAACTGCCCAGCCTACGTGCCACAGGCTGCACTTCAGGGGGACAAGGGTCAGACAGGCCCGGAGGGATGGCCTAGAAGACTGGATCTCCCTGGTCACCACCCCAGCCCTCCCCCCGCCACCACACACACACCAGACACTGTGACAGTTCCCTGTGTGTGAAGGCCCCCAGGACTCAGGGGACGGGCTCCGGGGCCATGTCTGGGGCCCACTCTCTCTCCAGGACAGGGATGCTGCTCCAAGCCAAAGTGCTGCCCCGCCCCTCCTCACCCAGGTATCGGCCACCCGGCTTGATGACAATGGCGCTGCGGCTCCGAGTCTCCTCCTCAGCCTGGGCCAGGCTCTGTCGCGCCTTCTGGTAGGAGTCATCGGTGGCACACACGGTGATCTTATCCTGGATGCTGCCCAGGCAGTCCAGGTGGACATCCCCACGGCTGCCAGATCAGCAGGGGTTGGTTATGGGCTGCCCAGCG